TATAAAATTAAACCAAAAGCCAGTATTTTAAAAAAACACATTATACTGCAAGCCTCTTAAAACTAGGACTAGACATGGGTTTTATTCATTCAGCTCATTCTTCTACCCATATGTTAGTCTCTGCCCAAGGAGCTTGAAGCCCCCCAGGCAAAGCATCTTAATCCATTCTGGGTAATAGTTCCATTGAATACATAATCCAAGCAGTGGGTAGACAGAAGCAAGAACCCTTAAATCTGCCTTTGAGGAAGCAGACCTCCCAGGGGAAGTAACACCTGAGTGGATACATGAGGGTTGGAGACTGGAATGAGGGTGGAAGGATGAATTCCAAGAATAGTAACAGCTTGCAGAATGAAGTATGGCAAGTTCAGCAGTCAGAGAAACTAAGTGGTTTAGAATTAACAGGACAGTAAGTGCAGGTGGAGAGTGGTAGGAGAGTTTTTACAAAATAACACACCTGATCCAGACTATTTGAATCAAACTCTCTGAAGGTGGGCTAAGCCTCTTAATATTTTTTGAAAGTGCCTGAGGTAATTCTGATGTGCAATTCTGTTTTAAACCTGCTGTTTTGCTTACTCCTCTTTATAGTCCCATAGTACACCCTCTGCACTATAGCAACCTGGTGACATTGAAACTGTTGTTCTCTGGGCCCTGAAGTGTGGAAGATTATCAAGGGCAGCAATATTGCCTTATTTTTTCTTTCTTTCTTTCTCTCCAATGCCTTATATATCTTCTGCCATGTGTTAGACACTCTATAAATATTTGCTTATTTGAGCAAAACTGAAATATTAAGAATAAATTAATCCAAAGCTAAAAATGTAAAAAAAAGTAAAAATAATTTTAAAATAAAATCATAAAAGATGATTAAAATAGAAACAAGATATAATACAATGGTCTAAAAAATTATGAATTTTAGAGAGAAGATATTAAAAAATAAGGTTGCCCCCCAAAATCTTTTCTCTTTAAAAAAAGGTTCAAAAAAAGCAAATAACTGAACTCTTATCACTGCCTATGTTAAATCTGCTTCTCAAGAAAGACTTACCATGTCCACAAAGCAGGAAAATCCCCTGACCTCCTTCAGTGTTTCTCCAAAACCGCTCATGCTATGGCCCACAAACCTTTCTCAAGCCTAGGAAATGAAACAGAAAATGCTTTGTTTATCCAGGCCTGTGAGCTGGCAGCTCATTGTTCTTAAAGTAGTCTGAAACAGCTACTGCAAAGAGTGTAATCAAGCTTCATTTTAGCTGGAAAAAAAAGAGAATATATCTAGTATATTAGAGTTACGAAAATCATAACTTTAATATTAACTAATGATATTCTGAAAACTAAAAATCCAGTTTAACGAATCACAGAATGACTTGATAGCCCCAAAGATCACTACTTTAAATTTTTAAATATTTTTTAATTGCACTCAAAGTATAAGAGTCTCTTCTCATTTTAAAATTCCAATGTCACAAATGAAAACAAAGATCCTTTGACAGTAACCCTTAATCCAGGTCCCCTTCCTTTGTCTCTGGGATAACAACAGATGGTCACATTTTTCCAAAAAATCTATCAGTCAGTTCCTTGTAAGTGGTGGGTCATGTGGGTGGACTAATGAGTTCCATGTGGTGTAAGCTCATTATCATACTTCATTTGTTATATAATGTGTCCCTTGTTCAGATACAATGTTACATAGCTATCACATGACTTGAAGAGTTTTTCTATGATGTAAATCCACAGATGATTATGCTGAAAGAAGTGTTGAATGTTTATCACTCAGGGTTTGATGGAACCCTTTGCTTAGCTTTATATTTATGTGTACTTAACATTGTAGACACAGAGGACTCTAGTTTCTTTTCACTGTTTTATAGATACTGCCAGGAATTAATCAAGGCCCAGGGAAGAATAGATGTCACAATTGCCATGCCCACAGCCAGTTGTGCTGGGAAAGAGGGGAACTAGAGTGCCTGGAGATTCATGTGAGACATAGGGCTTCATGAGAAGTACCTACAGGGAAGATCCCGTGGTGACAGGTGAACAAGTAGCACCTCCATCCACAGCGGTGCTTTGCCAAGCAGTGCCCTCTCTCCCGCATGACATTTTGCCCAGTGTTGGCTGGCTGAATGAGTGACACATAACCTTTGTACAGTACCCTCAGTTCTACTGCAGTCACCACTGAGAGGGGATCTATATGTTAGGCTGCTAGAGCAGTAACATCATCAGCATTAGCTTGGTTTGCTTGTATGCCCAGCATCCCAAGGGGCCACGTTGTGAAGTATATGTGAAAAAATAATAATAATAGGTGACTTTGTAAAGATAAAATTATTTTTCCCTAGTTCTCAGTATGCATTAGAGAAAGCCATGGTCTTTCAAAATAATATACATCTGGACATTGAAGCCCAGGCTTGTTCTCAGTGTTAACTAGGCTAGGTTTTTGAGAACAGAAAGGGGACATTCAGGGATGGTGTTTTACTCTCAACCTTTTCTTTAAGTGTGATACAACACTCAATTGGGAAATTGAAGGTAAGTATTTGAAGGCACTATCTTCAATAGTTTGGTAGGTTTGGGAGAACCAATAAGACATGGACAAGGAACCTAGGGCTGGCAAAAGCAGTGAGCTGTTATCATCCTTATGGCAACAGGGCTCTGGGAAGAAAGGGAATGCTAGAAATCACAAATAGGCTACTGCTGAAGAAGAGGGTGTCACCCTCTTCTCTGTAACAGAGCCTGCTTCTGTAGGTTATCACAGACTTTTCCTGCATCCCAAGAGACCATCCCATTATCCCAAGGTGCGTTGCCCTAAATAGCATTGTAAGTGAACCTAGCAGCCTATTCTACTAATCTATCAGTCAGTTCCTTGTAAGTGGTAGGGCATGTGGGTAGACTAACGTGTTTTATGTGGTGTAATCTCATTATTATAATTCATTTGCTATATAATATGTCCCTTGTTCAGACACAATGTTTCATAGATATCTCATAAATTGAAAAGTTTTTCTATAATGCAAATCCACAGATAATTAGGCTAAAAGAAATGTTGAATATTTATCGCTCAGTGGTTGACCAAAGAAATAGTATCACTAGAGTGTATAGAATAAAGTATTACTTATTGGAATTAGACTTGTACAATGGTGGAAACCATTAGGTAGTTCTTAAAAGTCTGTTACCACTGAACCTCATGCCAGTCTGAGGCCAGTAAAGCCACCATTATGAAAGATGAGTCATCCTTAAAGAAAAGGAAGATATAATAGCACTAGGGTCTTGTGGTGCCCCTCTCGGTTCCCAAGAGCCTAACAAAGCCAAGTGAATAGAGTGTCTGGGCCAGAATGAGTAGATAAAGTTTATCTTGAAGGATATTTTCTCTCATGCACAATGGGAACTAGGGACAGCTACTGTAAAAAGTTGCTTTTGCATGTACACCAGGAGAGTTGCTTCTTGGGATGCTGGTCATAGAAGTAAACTAAGCAAACTAATTCTGGTGATGTTACTGCTTCTGCAGCCTAACATATAGAACCCCTCTCCGAGTGGGGACAGGTGTGGAACTGAAGGTGCTGAGGAAAGGATACGTGTCACTCATCCAGCCAGTCAATACTAAATAAAATGCCATGAGGTAGACAAAGTACCTCTTGAGAAAGCTCCATAAGGGACACAGAGGTGCTATGTGTTCAGCCTATCACCAATGAACCTTCCCTGTGAGCATTTCCTCAATAAAACTTATGACCCATATACTGTCTCTGGGTATTTTTTTGGTCTCTCAACAACTTATCTCACTGGCCCAAATGTGCTTTGGCCTGACAGAAGGACAAATGGACATGAATCAGAGACCAAAGATAAACCAGTATTGTGTCTGTCTCTTAAAACTTCCTCTTTTTTTTTTTTTGTTTGTATTGGGGATTGAATCTAGGCACACTCAACTACTGAGCCCCATCCATTGAACTTTTTATATTTTATTTAGAGACAGGGTCTTGGTAAGTTTCTTAGGGCCTTGCTAAGTTGCTGAGGCTGCCTTCGAACTCTGTATCCTCTTGCTTCAGCCTCCGGAGCTGCTGAGATTATAGGCATACACCACGGCGCCTAACTTAGTACTTCCAATTTTGATAATGCAGGTAACTGTGTAACCTGAGTACTTTCATCATAGTCATGTCCTTGCATCTGGCTCAGGATTTGGAGGAACTGCAGGGAGAGAACCAGTAGGAGATAGGAACCGCAGTCTTAGGTGCTTTTCCATACCATAGGGTGAGCCAGCATACCAGAAGCAACATGGGGACAGTACACCCATCTTCAAAACAAAGGTGAATGTTTCATCAATTCCACATCCAAAATCCATGCAAACTTTCCATGTGGTAAAATTCAGACAGAAATATACTAAGCAAAATGGGAGAAAAGGAAGTAGGATAAAAAGGGCAATGGAAATTGAATGGGTTTGGGTAGCATAATGCTAATCAAGAAAAGACATGATGCTTTCTTAGTTCCTTCTTGGCCTTCTAAAAATAGCTTTGACCTTTCTATCAAAACACCATTTATCCATTAGACTAGGGTGAGCGCTCTTGAGAGTCTAACCTCCTTGCACAGCCTTGCAGAGTACCAAGAGGGAGTGTTTGTAAGTTGCAAGAAAGCAAAAGAAGCTCGTTTTAATGTCCTCTCTTTGAATACAGCCAGAAATTCCTGTATGTGAGGTAATTGCTGTTTTTAAGAGAAAAAAGACCAAGTGAGAAAATTTCCCAGTTCTAAAGGCTTTAAAGTAACCTGCCCTCTTTTATACGTCTATGAATTTACTTCATTTATATATTATTCCTTAGGAATTGAGGTTGAGAATTATCATAATCTATGCTTTTCAAATAATTTTCTATATGATTTCTTCTGTTTTCAGAAGAGATTTTCCCTTCCTTCTAATTAGAAGACAAAATGGCCTCAATATCAGCATGCATAAGCAAATGAGAGTAGACAAAGAAAGGCTTATCTCTGAGTTTTATCATCAACAATGAATGTCTGTGTTCAAAGAAGACTGTTCTAAATACAATCATTTAAGAGAGCTTCCCGTAACTCACTAACTGTCTGCATATTCTCCTCATTGCCACCTTCATTTCTTGGTTCCGTAGTGTGTAGATGACAGGATTCAGAAAAGGAGTCAGAACAGCATCAAAGAAGGCCAGGAACTTATCCAGGTGTGTGGAGGGAGATGGCCATGTGTAGAAGAATATCAAAGGACCAAAGAACAAGACCACCACAGTGATGTGAGCTGACAGTGTGGACAGAGCCTTGGAGGAACCAGCAGAAGAGTGTTTCTGAACAGTGAGAATGATGACAACATAGGAAATGATCAGTATGAAGAAGGAGCCCACAGAGATGAAACCACTGTTGGCTGTGACCATGAGTTCCAGTTGATAGGTGTCTGTGCAGGCAAGTTTGATGAATCTAGGAAGGTCACAGTAAAAGCTGTCCAACACATTAGGGCCACAGAAGGGCAATTTTACTACAAAAGCTAATTGAACCAGTGAGTGCATAAGGCCAACCACCCAGGCAGCCACTAAAAAGAAGATGCACATCCTTGGGCTCATGATGGTCAGGTAGTGCAGAGGCTTACATATGGCCACATATCTGTCAAAGGCCATGGCTATGAGGAGCACCATCTCCACACCACCAATGAGATGGATGAAGAAGATCTGGGTGATGCAGCCTCTAAAGGAAATGACTTTTCGCTTCCTGAAAAGGTCGTAAATCATCTTTGGGGAACTGACAGAAGAAACACCCAGGTCAATGAAGGAGAGATTAGCTAATAGAAAGTACATGGGAGAGTGTAAGTGAGGCTCAGAAGCCACTGTGAACACAATGATGGAGTTTCCTGTCATGCTTGCCACATAAAACATGGAGGAGAAAACAAAGAGGAGTAGTTGGATACCCCAGGAGTTGGTGAGTCCCAGGAACACAAACTCTGACACTACAGAATGATTTGCTCCATCCATTGACTTTGTTGGAGGTGCTGCCTGAAGAACAACAGGAGAAAATGCAAATTATGACAAGTATATTAATAGACCAGGAAGAGAGAGGTCAAAGTTATAAAAACCTAGTTTTAGTTTAGCATTAAACCAACCTAAATATCAACAAGTATATGAAAAAAGGGTTAACATCACTAATGAATCAGGGAAGTATTAACTAAAATCAGTGAAATATTAGTTTATACTTGTTAAAACAGTTATTATCACAAAGTCAAAATATAACATGTTTGGGGTGGATATCAAGTTAGAAATTCTTTGTACACTGTTAGTTGGACTTTAAGATAGCAGCAATTCAGGAAAATAGTTTAGAGATTTGTCAAAAAAATTGAACATAATGGCTATTATATAACTCAGTGATAGAGCACTTGCTTAGTATGTACAGGACCCTGGATTATATCTCTAATATCAACAGAAACAAAAAAAAATTATAGTAGATCTTCCATATAATTCACAATTCCACTTGTGGGCATATATATGAAGGTTAGTGACATTATTATACCCCAAAGACATTTTCCTATATTCATCACAGCCTTATTTATAATATGCTGAGAGAGTATAATATATGGAGACAACCTGACATGTCCATTGACAGTTGTATAGATCACACACACACACACACACACACATACACACACACATTCTACACCTTATTAAAGGATATTCTGAGTTTTGTGACATCATGAATGAGAATGGAGGTTATTGTGCCAAGGAAATTAAAGAGACATGGAAAGACAATTACTGAAAGATTTCACTTATATATATACTATATAAGAAATCACCTTCATAGAAGCAGAGATTATTATGGTGGGCCAGGAGTGGATGGGGTGTGGTGGCGAGATGGGAAGATATTCATCAAATATTCAGTTTGGATCCTTAATTTTGTATATCTGTTATACAGTGTGGTGATTGTGGTTTATAATAAATGTGTACTGCATACTTGAAAATTCCTAAGAAGTAGATCTGGAATGTTCTTCTCATCACAAATAAGCATAGATTGATCCAATCTTTTTACAATGTGTATATACATATCAAAATCTAACATTGTTCACCAATAATATATTGTATTTCAATTGTACCTTAATGAAACTGGAAGTGGGGGAGAAATCCACTTATTATGCCCACAGATTTTGAACTTGTGACCACACAGAGAAGTTGTTGGTTATCATACAGAGTTGTTCTGTTCCATGTAGAGTTGTCTCTGAATTTAATATGCTTTGTCCCAGAGAAGTTGCAGTGATGTTCCTCATGAGATAGGTTGACCAACATGGGAAATTGATTCAACCCCAAGTTCTTTCAATTTTTCCTTCAGAACACATAGTTCAGTCAGAGAAAACTATTCACCTTTTCTCAACTCATGCCTCCACCAAGATCACAAGATTATTCCGATAAATAAGCCCTTCCTTCCTACTCCCCACCTCTGGAAAACATTTATCTTCAAAGTTTATTAAATGTTTACCAAACCTAGAAGGTCTTACTTTATGTTATTTGGATACTCTGATGCAATGAAAAAGTGGTCCACAGAGAGGTGCAGGTCCATGAACTGTCAATTACCAGTTTGCATCACCTTAGCTACTGAAATGATGAGTAAGTGTTAGAAGTTTCTCCAACAAGTTGATGTTACAATGAAAGATAAACATCTGAATTTGCATTCTATTAAATGAAGCACTGGGGGAGAAAAATAAGATAATGTAAGAATCATTGCCTTGGAGGATCTGAAAGCTTAAACCTATAAAGGTCACTGTGGCGTAATAGACAATATTTTGTTGAAACATCTGTGAAAGGACTTAGGACATTACATTGTAATTTTGAGTGTACTTAGGGAAGCAACATAACATAGTAGAATGAAAAAGGACTTTGGATTCAGAAACCCAAAATGTATACAGTTCAGCCACTGAGAAGCTATTTTGGGCAAGGTACTTAAACTTTTACTCCTCAGTTTATTTAACAGATGAACAAATTTAAATACTGACTTCTTATGGTAAGTTGTAGGGATAAAATAATTAAAGGTTGTAATCATGCATTCAGGATATTTGTATTCCATATATAGATATTCAGTAAATATTAATATTACTTTCCTTTCTTCACTTACCCATTATAGTGCTTAGTGCATGAGATACATAAATAAAAATTAGAGCTGTTATTGACAAGTAGAGAATATCTAAACACCATGTCTGAAAGAAATTTCAAAATATAGTGGCTCATTCTACTCAATAATAGATTATAATTTTAGTGATTAAAAGTAAATTTTAAATGTAAATTAAATGTATTTCTTTATAGTACTTACTACAGACATAATTTGTTGTTTTGTTCTCCTTTATTAGACCACAATCCCCATAAAGTTACAGACTACATCTTTCTTCTCTCCAGTGTTTCCCAAACTTAGAATCACAACAGGTACATGATGGGAACAGTAAGTGTTTTCTGAAAGATAGAAAACGATTTATTTGGATGATTTAAAGGCATATTAAGTTATGCCTAATTATATAATTAAAGACGATAAGCAGACCTCAGTTCTGAAGTGGCACAGAAAATAGAAAATGTAGTATTATAAAATTGATCAAGAATTGCAGAATATATGAAATTAAAAAAATTAAAGGAAAATCTGAAAAGGACTCTGAAATTTGGAAAGTATGCATGTAATGAAAAGGGAAGAGAGAAAAATTTCATTTCATAGTAATAAGACAGTCTCTAAGATGTGATATATACTGCTCTTTTAACCTATTCTTTAGAAATAGTATAATTATAAACAAATTATATCTCCAGGAGTGTTTTCAGCACTAAGGCTCTTAGAAGTTTTTCTCCATTAGTTTTACTGATCTATAAACGCACTTGTCTTTTTGGATCTTTGATCTTATGAAGTAGACAGGAACCCAAATTTCTCTTTAAAGTGAGTTTAAAATAAAATGAGATGCAGCTATGGAATGTAGATGTGCCAAATGGATGAGACTATATTCCTGTAAATATCAGGGGATATAAAAACTTTTAAAGTTAGAGTCATTACAGCTTTAAAGTCACTTGACATAGGGTCAGGATTCAAATCTAATTCTAGAGAAAAAGTCCTAGAAAGATTTAGAGCTGATGCTTTTTTAGCTAGAAGTCATCAATATCCTCAGGGAAACTCCTGAAGGAGCGCTTTTGAAATCATCTTCTCCTATAAATCAGCTGTCCTTGAAATAATTTTTCTTAAATGCATTAATTATGTTAATTTGAAATAATTATATATCCATGATGCAAAAGACAAGACCTCTTTACCCTATCTTGTGATTGATCCTTTTTCTCTACTTATATAAAATTTAGAAATCCTCCAAATCAGATGCCCAGACATTTAATTTTTATGGATGAAGGAAGTATTTGGTGGGGGTTCCAAATACAGAGTCATCAAGTTAAATGGGACCTATAGAAAATCTAGGTGTCATCTAAACCTTTATCTATATATGTTTCCTCTGACCTCTAAAATATTCCAAGTTGATTATTTCCCTCAGCTCAAACTTACTGTGTTTTCACTCTTTAAAGTGTCACAAAACATTCTTTATATCCAAGCAAAATCTAACCCCCTCTAATTTGAGAACATCTCTACTCTTATTACTCTGGGAACATATCCTTTTCAAATAAATGCCTGTTTGCTTAAATGAAACAAAGTCACCCTGTAGCTTTCGATTTGCAAGTCTCAGAAAACAACACCTTATATATTTACTCTTTGATTTCCTTTCTCAGGTACACTCAACTCCTGAAATTTTTTCCTTTGTGAACACTTTTTAAACTCTTTACCATTCTTCTTATCGTTCAGAGATTAAACTGATATAAACCCTCTGATTATAAACTATGGGGGAAACACAAATATAGTAACTCTTGGTATTTTAAAATATTATTGCACTTTGAAATTTTTGTCATCTGTAGGATTTCTCTTTATGCTATTGATTGTACATTTCAAAATGATATTACTTTAGAAATTATTCAGCTTTTGGTCATTCATTGGTCTCCATGTCAAATTTTTATTTCTATTCAGATATCTACAAGACTTTTTTCCATCTGACAAACTTGATAAGTTCCTAGTAAAGTTGCTTCTATTTTATAGACGATCAATTTATAACCATCTTTTGAAAAGCCAATGGAGAGAAAATGTAGAACTTTTTTTAGTTGTTTTTAATTTTCATGTGTCTTTTTTTTTTTCGCCTATTCACCAAGTGGCAGAAGATGAGATCATCAATGTAATCATCAATTACAACAGAATGATTTATTGCAACCTCTGCAGAATTCAAAACATTATAAAACTGTGCCTTTTTCTAATGTCATTCACATTTTCCTAGGCAAAATATGGTTCAGTTCTAGGTTAAAGTCAGCCTTTTCTAGTATGTCTGTAGGCTTTTTCACAATGATTATCCTGTGTTATTCAATTCCTTCTCCAGGATACTTTCTATTTCACTTTAGGATACACTCATGCCCTTTAGGATCTGACTCATGTTCACAGCAATCCCAAGAACAGTATCATGTCTCAAACTAAAGCCATGTTTCCTATTATTAAATTTATTCCCATACATTCATTTTACCTATAAAGAGAAGAGCATCTTCTGGGACTCAGGTTTTCCTGTGCTCTCTAATGTAAAAGTCCATATAATATCCTGCAATAGGAAGATATGAAGCTAATTTTATATACCACAGAAGCAGTGACCAAGTGATACTACAAAAACATGATACCTCATGGTTTAGGGACTTTTTCCCTAGAGAATTTTTTTTCTTTTTTTTGTCAGTGTGACCAGAGGATCTAAAAAACTCATAATAAATGAATTCTAGATAGGGCAGAGAGGTGGGAGGAAAAAGGAGGAGGCAGGGGATTAGCAAGGATGGTGGAATGTAATAGACATCATTATCCAAAGTATATGTATGAAGACACGAATTGGTGTCTTTATATACAACCAGAGATATGAAAAATTGTGCTGTATTTGTGTAATAAGAATTGTAATGTATTCTGC